TCAAAACCAAGAAAAAGCCCAAAAGAAAAAAATGAGCAAAAGATGTAAGCAAACAGATCATGGGAAGAAAATATAAATGGCCCTTAAACATAGGAGGAAATGCTTGGTCTTACTCATCATACAACAAACCCACTGCCATTGAGTCTATTCTGACTCATAGCAACCCTATAGAACAGAGTGGAATTGCCCCATAGGGTGTCCAAGGGTGTAAATCTTTAAGAAAACAGACTATTTTCTCTTTCTCCAGTGGAGAGTCTAGTGGGTTCAAACCACAGACATTTTGGATAGCAGCCAAACACCTTAGCCCCTGCGCTACCAGAGCTCCTTACTCATCATAGGAAAAATGTTAATTAAAAGCTATTATGAAAGTGACTGGAAGAAATGCTGAAATAAAAGACCTGAACAGAAGATTTCAAAGGGCAGCTTGACAAGGAAGTAAAGTATTAGAATGAAATGTGCAAAGACCTGGAGTTAGAAAACCAGAAGGAAAGAACACACTCAGCATTTCCAGCCTCATAGCAACACGCAAGCCACCACAGTACAACAAACTGACAGGTGAGTGATGGAAGTGGAGGTTTCAGTGGAGCTGCCAGACTAAGATAGACTTGAAAGAAGGAAGGAACCACCCACTTCTCAAAGAATTGGCCAGTGAAGACCTTATGAATAGCAGTGAAACACTGTCTGACATATTACTAGAAAACTTTGTGAATAGCCCTGAAACACCATCTGATTTAGTGCCGAAAGATGAGCCCCTCAGGTTGGAAGGCACTCATAATATGAGTGGGGAGAGCTGCCTCCTCAAAGGAGAATCAGCCTTAATGACACGGATGGAGTAAAGCTTTCAGGACCTCCATTTGCTGATGTGGCATGACTCAAAATGGGAGGGAATAGCTGCAAACATCCGTTAGTAATCAGAACATGGAATGTACAAAATATGAATCTAGGAAAACTGGAAGTTGTCAAAAATGAAACAGAACACATAAAGATCACTATCTTAGCCATTAGTGAGCTGACATGGACTGATTTTGACCATTTTGAATCAGACAACGATATGATCTATTATGCTGGGAATGACATATTGAAGAGGAAAGGTGTGGCATTCATGGTCACAAAAAAATGTTTCAAGATCTATACTGAAGTACAATGCTGTCAGGGACAGGATAGTATCCATATCCCTACAAGGAAGACCAGTTAATACACTATTGTTCAAATTTATGCACCAACCACCAAAGACAAAGATGAGGAAATTGAAGATTATTACCAACTTCTGCAGTATGAATTTGACCAAACATATGGTCAAGATACATTGATTATTATTGGTGATTGGAATGTGAAAGTTGGAAGCAAAGAAGAATCATTGGTAGTTGGAAAATACGGCCTTGGTGATAGAAATGATGCCAGATATCACATGATAGAATTTTGCAAGACCAACAACATATTCATTGCAAATATCATTTGTCAACTATGTAAATGGTGGCTATTTATGTGGATCTCACCAGATGGAATACACAGAATCAGATTGACTACATTTGTGGAATGAGGTGATGGAGAAGTTCAATATCTTCAGCCAAAACAAGGCCTGGAGCTGGCTGTGGAACAAACTATCAATTGTTCAAGTGCAAGTTCAAGCTGAAGCTGAAGACAATTAAAACAAGTCCATGAGACCAAAAATATGACCCTGATTATATGCCACATGAATTTAGAGACCATCTGAAGAACATATCTGATGTACTGAACACCAATGACTGAAAACCAGAAGAATTGTGGGATGACATCAAGAACATCATCTGTGAAGAAAGCAAAAGGTCATTAAAAAACAAGAATGGAGGAAAAGACCAAAATGCATGTCAGAAGAGACTCTGAAACTTGCCCTTGAATGGAGAGTAGCTACAGCAAATGGAACAAATGACAAGATCAAAGAGCTGAACAAGAAGATTTCAAAGAGCAACTCAATAAGACATATTATGTCTTCTGTTATGATGAAAGGAGCTCTGGTAGCATAGTGCCTAAGGCACTTGACTGCTAACCAGAAAGATGGTGGTTTAAACCCACCAGCCACTCCTCAGAAGGAAGATGGAGCAATCTACTTCTGTAGTGATACTGCCTTGGAAACCGAAGGAGGGGTTGCTATGAGTTGGGGCCAACTTGACAGCACATAACAACAACAATATTATGTTAACTGTGCAAAGACCTGGAGTTAGAAGACCAAAAGGGAAGGATATGCTCAGCATTTCCCAAACTGGAAGAATTGAAGAAAAAATTCAAGCCTTGAACCGCAATACTGAAAGATTCTATGGGCAAAATATTGAATGTTGCAGGAAATATCAAAAGAAGATGGGAGGAATACATAGAGTCACTGTACCAAAAACAACTGGTCAATGTTCATCCATTTCAGGAGGTGGCATATGATCAAGAGCCAATAGTATTGAAGGAAGAAGTCAAAGTTGCACTGAAGGAAGTGGCACAAAAAAAACAAGGCTCCAGGAACTGACAGAATACCCATTGAGATGTTTCAACAAATGGATGCCACACTGAAGACACTCATCTATGCCAAGAAATTTGGAAGGCAGTCACTTGGTCAACTGACTGGAAGAGATCCATATTTGTACCCATTCCAAAGAAAGTTGATCCAACAGAGTGTAGAAATTATCGAACAATATCATTTGTATCACACACAAGTGAAATCTTGGTGAAGATAATTGAAAAACAATGTTGTTGTTGTTGCTGTTATGCACCATCGAGTCAGACCCGACTCATAACGACCCCTCCTTGCATTTCTGAAGCAGTATCACTATTGAAGTAGATTGCCCAACCTTCCTTCCAAGGAATGGCTGGTAAGTTTGAACTGCCAGCCTTCTGGTTAGTAGTCAAGTGCCTTAGGTGCTATGCTACCAGAGCTCCCTCAAAAACAATAACAGCAGTATATTGACAAGGAACTTCCAGAAATTCAAGCTGGATTCAGAAGAGGATGTGGAACAAGGGATAGCACTGCTGATGTCAGATGGATCTTGGCTGAAAACAAAGAATCAAAGAATACCAGAAAGATGTGTACTTGTGTTTTATTGACTATACAAAAGCATTTCACTGTGTGGATCACAAAAATTATGAATAATATTGAGAAGAATGGGAATTCCAGAACACTTAATTGTGCTCATGGGGAGGAACATGTACAAAGACCAAGAGGCAGTCATTTGAACAGAACAAGGGGATACTGCATGGTTTAAAATCAGGAAGTGCGTGCATCAGGGTTGTATCCTTTCACTATATTTTTTCCATCTGTATGCTGAGCAAATAATCAGAGAAGCTAGACTATATGAAGAAGATCACGGTATCAGGGTTGGAGAAAGTCTCATTAACAACCTATGATATGTAGACGACACAACCTTGCTTGCTGAAAGTGAAGATGACTTGAAGCACTTACTGATGAAGATTAAAGACTGCAGTCAGCGGTATGGATTACATCTCAACATAAAGAAAATTAAAATCCTCACAACTGGCCAATAAACAGCATCACAATAAATGGAGAAAAGATTGAAGTTGTCAAAGATTTCTTATTACTTGGTTCCACAATCAACACCATGGAAGCAGCAGTCAAGAAGTCAGACAACATATTGCACTGGGCAAATCTGCTGCAAAAGACCTCTTTGAAGTGCTAAAGAGCAAAGATGTCTCTTTGAAGACTAAGGTGGGCCTGTCCCAAGCCATGGTATCTTCAATAGCCTCATATGCATGTGAAAGCTGGACAATGAATAAGGAAGACCGGAAAAGAGTTGATGCTTTTGAGTTGTGGTGTTGGTGAAGAATACTGAAAGTACCATGGACTGCCAGAAGAACTAACAAATCTGTCCCCAAGGAATTACAACCAGAATACTCCTCAGAGGCAAAAATGGCCAGATTTCGACTGACCTACTTTGGTCGTGTTGTCAGAAGGTACCATTCCCTGGAGAAGGATGTCATGCTTGGTAAAGTAGAGAGTCAGCAAAGAAGGTGAAGACCCCTAATGAGATGGACTGACACAGTGGCTGCAATGATGGACTTTAGCATAGTGGATTCTGAGGATGGCGCAGGACCAGGCTGTGTTTCGTTTTGTTTTGTAGGGTTGCTGTGAGTCGGAGTCAACTCAATGGCACCTAACAACAACAACAGATTGGCAAAAACACAAAAGTTTTCTAACATGTTCATTTGGCAAGGTGCAGGAAAACAGCCTTGATCTTGGCTCACAGCAAAGAATACCAGAAAGATGTTTACTTGTGTTTTATTGACTACGCAAAGGCATTTGATTGTGTGGATCATGACAAATTATGGATAATTTGGGAGTGTTAACTGGAACAACTCCTATATTTAGCCATATCCATCAAAATTCCAAATGTATATATTCTTTGGCCCAGCAACTTCACTCTGGGAATTCATCCTGTAACTTAGCTTGTGCACATGCAAAATAATAAACCAAACCAAACCAAACTCACTGCTGTTGAATAGGCTCTGACTCATAGCGACTCCTCCTTGGGTTTCTGAGGTGTTATCTCTATGGAAGTAGATTGCCCAGTCCTCTTTCCAAGGGGTGACTGGTGGGTTTGAACTGCCAGCCTTCTAGTTAGCAGTCAAATGTCTTAGGCACTACACCCCCAGAGCTCCTGTGCAAAATAATACATTTTCAAAATTATTCACTGCAGCATTATTTGTAGTAGTAAAATGCTGGAAACACTCAAGTGTCTATCTACCTATAAAATGGAATTCTAGGTGGCTGCATATATTTAAAGGATAAGGACATTCTCTATGCACTGATACAGAAAAACTTCCAAATTATATTGGTATATGAAAGAAAAAAAGTGCAGAAAAGTACATTTAAATAAAAAGAGTAATAATATGTGTTCATAGTTGCTTGCATTTTCACAAAGAAATTCTGGAAGAACATACAAGAAACTAGTAACAGTGGTCACCTTTGTGTCTGTGGGTAGAAACTGAGCAGGGGGATGTGGAGGAGCAAGACTCTTCACTGAATATATTTTCATTCTGTTCCCATTTTTAACCATTATAATGTGTTACCTCATTTTGAAAAAATAAAATTTAAAAGTAAACTTGAAAAAAACATTCCTTCAATTGTCCATAAAGTACAGAACATAGTTTTTGTACATATATTTGTATCCAGTCATGCTTTTGAAGACTGAAGTTTGAAAGCAACTGGACAAAAATAAGGCAAAAGGTTAAGTTTCTATGCAGGTATCTGCATGCAAAAACATTCTCCTTTAAGATACCCATCAAATTCCTGCCTGGGAATGAAAGACAGGAGGAGAATTGTAAAGTGTACCTGCTTGGCTGCAGCGTTTAGTCTAATCTCATTTTTAGCCTCCACAATAGATCTGTATCATGTTAGGAGGATTAAAATATGGAGAGGAGTCCCAATTTCAGTGAAAGTTTATAGGTAAGTTAAATATACATGTGATGGGACTCCATTGTATTGTGCTCATATTTTCTGAACTGTCTCAGGTCAAGATATGTGGAGCAAGAAACGCAACTAAACCTAAAATGGCCATCCTAGGAAATCCTGGGAATGGTGACTAATATCACATTTAGTTTTCAGTGTGAGGAAAGTGAGAGTGACCGGTCGGAAATCCTGAATTGTGCCATATTGTTAATACCATTTTATTTGTTACTGCCCACAGGATGCAATAAAACACAAATCATTCATTGGGCCTGAAAAAAAAACTAGAGCAAGGAAACATTGAAGAGGCATTTCAATCCGTTGATCAAATCATTGAAGGTGAATTCTTAAGCCCTGTTCATCAAGAGTTATGAAGAGATAAAAGCAATCTTAATCAGGGATGCTATTCTGTAGAACTTGGATACAATCCACTCATCTCAGTTCCTCTCATGGAAATTAGTAAAGAAGTGGAAACCCAGAACATCAGGGTCAGAGAGGAGAGGAGGTTTTGTGAAGGACCCTAACCCCTTGGCCAAAGAATTTGTACGAGTTCCATAGACTACATAAGGCAGAGCAGTGTGGCTTGAAGTGGGAAGAGCACGACCACCAGAGGCAAGGTTAAAGGTCATTATAGGATGCCTGGTGAGAGATGATGACTGGTGTATTGGAGTAGAGAGGAGAACATAGGTGTAAGAGATAGTCACTGACTAGCCAAGAAGGATCAAATACAACTTTGAAGTTTGAAATTGGTTGACTGAGGAAAAGTGGTGTCATTAACAACATGGGAGACATCATGCCATATTTGGAGGCAGGTAGAAGGTTTCAGGGGCCAGCAGGCCATTCTCAAGGAGATGTCCATTGGCAGTCAGAAGGGAATTTCAGTGCTTTAAGAAATGCTAGGTCTAATCACAAATGAAGAAATTGAACAGGTCATCAAAAAATTACCAACTAAAAAAAGTCCTGGCCCAGTCGGTTTCACTGGAGAATTCTACAAAACATTCAGAGAAGAAGTGATACCAATCCTACTCAAAGTATTCCAAAACATAGAAAAGGATGGAATCCTCCCTAACTCATTTTATGAAGC